TCATCAGTATTCAATACAACTGTGGTTTTAATCATTCATGAAATAGTTCACTTGTAAGATAGTTTTACTATTCCAAAGTTCTTAACAGAATTATCTGAACCAAGCAAATTAACACTGTCATCTAGGACAACTCTAACTGTTCCCAGTATCAACTGTAGGACTAGGCTTTTCTGCTCTGGTTAGTCTCTTGCTGTCACAACCTTTCATAGTCTAGCTCTTAGCTAAAACACACATTAAATACATTGCAATCAACTGTATGTAGTTGGACTGCCTTAATTGCATCAACAATCTACATAACTTGTTATCAAAGTCTACAGCACTTTCTTTTCCTGTGATAACTTTTCAGTAACCTATTATCAATTACACAATGGAACACAGATTTCAATTATTTTTCATTGCACTTCATTTTTAGATAGTATATATAATATCTAGGATAGTTTGGAAAAGGTGAAGTTAATCATTATGAAAAATACTCTAAGGGAAATTTTCCACACTAAGTTTAAATTAATCCTTTGAATCCTGAAATGGTAACCTACTATTTTAGGGCCTGATCCTAGAAACACAAACTACCAGATGTAATTCCTTGTAAATGCTAGGCTGCTGAAAGTGATTATTTATAAGATGTGTGGAGGAGAATACTGAAGTTTTCTTGCCAAAATAAAATCACATTTATAAACATTACAACAGGTTTCCAAAGAGCTATTGGAGGAAAAGAAAGGTAGGTCACAGTTTGAGCCTAGCAGTCTTGACACAGGGTCCCTTCAAAACATTTTTGGATTACTAACACAGCATTTGATTCTCCTTGTGAAGCAGTAAGTCATCTTAGGAACAAAGTTCAAGTTATTGGAGAAATGCAGGAATGAGATAAAGATGTTTTGGGTAGAGGGATATCTGTACTAACACAGTTACGTGTTTTGGTATGTAAGGCCAGCAGTGTTCCCAGACGTGACCCAAATGACAGTAATTCAAAGAAAACAATTTATATCTTGTGACCTAGGCCCCAAAGATTATATTGCTTAATGCTGAGTTTAGACTTTTCCCTCTCTGTAAATGTCAAGTTGTTTTTAGCAATGAGACATTTATATTTCATGATCCTGACCAATTGATTGATTTTATTAGAGAGTAAAAAAAGATGAAGAAAAACATCCAACAATTCTTCTTCTACAGACTCAGAAACAGACCTGAATAAATAATATGAAACTTAACATTTGAGATGGGGCTTAATGATAAAAGTGATGTTTTCTCTTGAAGAGGGAGTGCAATATTCACAGAGACTTCTCCAACTACCTGCTGCTCCCCTGTATGCCTTCCCCATGCAGTACCAGTCTTTGAGGCTGGGGAGGGTGAGGTTGGAGCGCAGGCCTGCAAGTGATTGGTAGGTTTGCACCCCACTAGTCATTCTAACTGGTAACTCAGGCCCAAGGGGTGAGGGCATTTAGAGAACCACATGTGTGGGTGAGGAATATTCCTGCTCCACAGGCTGCCAGCCAGAGAACTTCTCTTGCAGTGATCCACCCCTACACACTACATTGGACTGGAATCTCCCACTGAGGCAATATGTTATTTATGGCACAGTTAAATGGAGTTCAATAGTCCTTGTCCTCCACTCTTTCTGGGTCTCTGTGCCTTACAGCAGGTTAGATAGATTGTCACATTTGGGGTCAGGTCGTCCTCTACTTCCCTACTTGGTCTGGCAGAGTCCTGATAGAATTATAAACATGTGTTTTGGTGTAGGCAGATGATGTGGGTGGATGGGTAGCAATTTGTTATGGTGTGAAGTATTTATGATGTTTTATGGATCTTTTAAGGGGGATATTATTTTTAATGTCCAAAAGGCACCCAGAGCACTGGGCGAGATAATAGCAGGTATATGGTGTGGGGCACTTCCAGTGAAGAGTTTAATTTCTCTCAGAAGGAGATGGCCATGGGGGGACACACAGCTTGGAGAAAGTGTGAATCTTTTTTGGGTAACCATTAGTTTGCTTGGTGCATATTTGTTGGGCAATAAATTAATAGTTAAGTACCAGGTTAACTTGGTTCATAAATGAAGTTGCATCTGGAGGCCTTAAACCATATGTGTTGTGTCAGTGTGCTTAGTAGGGTTCTACCTGGAAAATGATCTCTCAGTAGTTACTGCTGCTTTATATAGTCACTTATATTGGCAATATGTTCTCTCAAGCTGGGAAAGTGTGTTAACGTGAAGCTCTTTTGTATGAGTATGTAGGACTTTCCTCACACCATTTATTACATGCAAACAATGTGGAATACCAGGGAAAGCAGCATTTCCCATTTTATACAGAGCATTGTGAAGTTATTTTTCAATAAATGTTTTAATTTTGTTCAAAAGTATTTCATATTATCAACACTGCTCTCCTTATTAAAACATTTCCCAGATCTCCTCACACAGACACATGATTGATTACAACTTACTTCGGATCTGCTTTTTGATTTCCTTTGCAGGGTCCAACCAGTTCTGAAAAGAAATTTTTTTTTAATTTGACTAAAAATACAGTGAAAATTATTTTTAAACATTGATATTAACAGCACTGAAATGAGACAAAGTAAAGTTACATGTGTTCAGTGGCCTTTTAAAAACTCAGCAGCAGATGCCACATTTGTTGGCTAAATTAACTTCTTGCGCCATCTCTTTCCTTTGGAATACTGTAGCTACAGCAATTATTTTACGCTAATACATTTACTTGATTCCTTGAAGGGTTTCGTTGTTGTCGTAAGAACTTCTTAGATCACAGGAACCTGCAGACTGGGTTAGAACACAGGCATCCTCTGGCAGCATGTCCACTGACCTTTCATTAGCACACCAGGAGGCTCTTGTTTGCTTAAACCTTGAAAGGCTGGAGGGACTGAAGAGTCTGGCCCTGCTTAAGTACATAAAGAGGAGGAAGAGGACATGAGCCTCTCCTCTATTTGTGCCCCAGTGCAGGAATCAGGCTTTAATCCATTGAGGTGTTCAGACATTGTCCCTTGCTAGAATTTCCTCCAGTGCTAGCTATCCAAAAGGGTGAGGTGTTCTGTGCAGTGCCATCATCCACACTGACCAGCAGAGCTTGTCAGGTGTATGAGAGAACTGTACAATACAGCTGTTGAAAGGATGGGGAACTGCCACTGCAGTGCATGCTCCCTGGCAGTCAAGGAGGAATTGTGGCTGCCTCACAATTCCGCTTGGGATATCTTACTGCAGCATAGTATCGCTAACCATTTCGGCAGGCGGCATGGTTTAAAATCCACAGCCTAGACTGCGTTGTACCTGTTTTTCTCTCTCAGATATTGGGAGGTTATGTCCCTGACCTTCAGCATTGTCTTAACCAATGCAAATTAATATTTAATATGTATATAGTTCATAACAAAAGCAGTTTGTTAATCCCCTAGGAAAAATTCCACTTTCTTCAAGGAAAGATAAACAAATATAGCAAAAACCAAAACCAAACAAACCCCAGAACAACCCTTGCACCTTACCCCGCCTTCCCCTTAATCAGCTGGCAGCTGCCCAGAATCAATTAGTCTGAACTCCAAAGTATGCGGCTACAAGAGTATAATATGCCACTACAATTAAGATTGCCTCAGGGTTTCTTTTTAAAGCCCTGTTTTCAGATACTTGTAACTCAGGTAACGCAGATGGAAAAATTTGATGTGGATTCTTATATAGCATAAAGATCTTCAGCCTGGAAGATGTTTTTTCTATGGTGGAGGGGGGGGGGGG